GACAGTCTCCAAAGCTACAGAGAAATCCTGTCTTGAAGGAAAAAAAAGAAGAAGAAAAAGTAGACTATAATGTTTATTAATCCTCCCACCTGCAACCTCTCGCCCTCTCCACCTGGGGCAGTGAGAAGAAAACCCAGAGGCTGTGCTGTTATTACTGAGCTAATTCGCTAACTCAGGTGTTTTTGAGATAATTGTGATAAGGATGGTATTATGTAGCTCAAACTGGCCTCTAACTGGTGATCTTCCTCCCCCTTGACACCCAAGTGCTAGAGATTATAAATGTCCCATCTTAAATTTTCCCATCTTAAAAAAAAAGTCACCTGGATCAAGCCTGGTTAATCATGCGTTTAATCTCAGCACAGAGTAAGTTCCAGGCCAGCAGTAGCAATTAGGAAGGAAGCAACAGTACAGCCTATATTAAAAAAAAAATCTGTTTTAAGATTTGTTTGTTGGGGGGGGGGCGGGTTCAAGACAAGATTTCTCTGTGTAACCCCGGCTTGTCCTGGAACTTACTCTGTAGACCAGGTTGGCCTCAAACTCACAGAGATCTGCCTACCTCTGTCTCCCGAGTTCTGGAATTAAAAGCATGTACCACCACTGCCCTGCAAGATTTATTTTTATCTGTGTGTGCGCGCGTGTGCCTGTCTGTTTGTATGTGCACCATGTACATGCCATGCCTACAAAGTCCAGAAGAGGGCACTGTATCCCCTGAAACTGGAGTTACAGACTATTGTGAGCTTCTGTGTAGGTGCTGGAACCCAAACCTGGGTCCTCTGCAAGAGCAGTAAGTGTTATTAATAGGTGAGCCATCTCTCAAGCCTGCATCTCTCAAGTCTTGAAACACGTTTTTTTTTCTTGGTAGGTCTTATGGTGAGGTTAATTTTTGTGCTGGGTCCTGGGTTCTATTCCTAGCAACATAAGGCGGGAATCCCCTGAGGGTTTTTCTGAAAAGCCTGTATCCAGCACCTCTCCCTCCTTGCCATCTCATATATCGGCATGCTTAGGCCTGAATGTGTTTGTTTCACATGGCTGGGCAACATTTTTACAGGGTGAACTAAGGTATCTTTGAGCTCCTTTTGATCCACTCTTCAGGGAGGCCAAAGCAAAGCCAGTTCTAGAGAGCTGATGCTAAGACAAGATGGCAGCTGATAAGTGTCTTGCCTGAGGTACTTTATTACAGAACTCCAAGCATTCCCTGCGCTTAGAAAGGAGTGCAAGAAGGCCCTCGGGCAGTCTCTCAGAGAAAATTCAGAACCTCTTCAGAATTCATCATTGACTTCCGGAGTGCAGTCCCACATTTCTGGAATGGCCTGATTCCTCTCCTTCCAATAAGATAGCCCTCGCTGGCCCCAAGGCCAGAAATGTCTGTCCACTACTCGCCAGCCGGCCTGGCTCCTTTGGCCCCAGAAGCCTCTCCTGAGCTGTCGTTTATCAGACGGGCTGTGGAATTCAGTGGGCTACCTCTCTCCTCAGCTCCCTGGGTCTGTTTCCTTCACAGGACTGATCTTTTCTGGATTTATCTACGAGTACTAGGTTCACAAGAGCAGGCCTGGAAGGTTTGGTTTTGTTCACGTCTGTCTCCAGAGTGTCAAGCCTACACCTGTTTTGTTGTTATTGCTTGCTTTTTAAAGATTCATTTTATATGTGTGGGTGTTTTGGCTATGTCTCTGCACCATGTTCATGCAGAGCCCGTGGAAACCAGAAGGCCCCGAAACCTCTAGAACTAGAGCAGCGGTTCTCAGCCTTCCTAAAACTGTGGCCCTTTATTTAATAGAATTCCTCATGTTGTGGTGACTCCCCAACCGTAAAATTATATTTGTCACTTCATAACTATAATTTTGATACTGTTACATATTATACTGTAAATATCAGTGTTTTCTGATAGTCTTGGACAACTCCTGTGAAAGTGTTGTTCGACCCCCAGAGAGGTTGAGAAACACTGAACTAGAGTTATTATTTGGTTGCCTAATGAATCTCAGACTGGCCTCAGACTGTGTAGCTGAGTATGATGTGATTCTCCTTTCCCCACATTCCAAATGCTGGGATCATAGACATGTAACACCATGCCTAGTATATGCAGTGCTGGGTATCAAAGCCAGGGCCTGATGCATGCCAGGCAAAAACCACCAACTGAGCCCCATGCCCAGTCCAATTTTATACCTTTTCTTTCCACCATAAAATTGGGGCTGTGAAAATGCCACTAACAATGTCGCATTGCCATTAAAGAACAAAATTGATTGTGCAGTTTGTAATTAATGTAACAAAATTTACCAGCCCATATAATTGTATCAGTCTCCCTTCCTGGGGAGAAGTAAACAGAAAATAATCAAACCATATTTCTTGACCACTCACATCCAAAATATGTTGGCCCTTGTCATGAAAGAACGAGACCGTGAGCTACTGGCAAGGCCATTGACATGGCTGAGCTGCCTAATCCTGGAGAGGGTGTTAGAGGACAGAGGGTATTCCAGAGTCAACAAAGGGACCCAGCTCTGTGATGGATGAACCCCCAAAGTCACTACCAAGTACAATCATGGGTTGATGGGCCTCTCTTAAACTTTGCTTTTTATCAGCATTTCTAGACTTCCTGAAACACTATAAAATCCTGAACTTTAATTACTAATGCAACAAACAAGGAATTGCCGTGTTTGATACCACAAGCCTAAAACACAGAACTTCTTCAAAGACAACAAATGGATCCAGAATAAGCTGCAATGACTGCACCCGTACTGTGGCAAATTACATGCACATTAGGAGTCTAGGGCGAGTGTGCCGAGATACTCTCATCCATGCTGGTGCATGTGGCATCAGCATGTCTACCTCCATAGCTTCCACCTTGCTGAGACAGGATCTCTCACTAAACCTCTACATTTAGGTAGACTACCTGGCCAGTTAGCTCCCAGTGCTGGGATTACAGGCACATGCAACCACACCTAGGTTTCCATGGTGCATACTGGGGAATCTGAACTCACCTTGATGCCTGCACAGCAAGCCCTGGACACACTGAGCCATCCCCAACCCTATAGTGGGATATTTTTAAGGCAAAATGAGAAGATGCTATGTTGCATGTGAATACAGTAATATTTGGTTCTGAACATCAATAGCAAGGGTAACATTGGTCCAAGGGCTGACAGGTAGCTATGATTAGATGGCCCTGCACAAATATTTTTTGTGTAAGACTGCAAAGATCATTGCACAAGGTTGTGGCTCTTAGCAGAGTTCTGTTGGGTGTGTGTGTGTGTGATGTTATTGTTTATTTTTAATAAGGGGGTTATTGGGGTTTATTGTTCTAGAAGGGATATAGTAGGGAAGGTATGGATCCTGAATGTGAGGCTGACCCAGCAGTCAGGAAGATGGCTGACCTTATTTCACTCACACACAGGAGACAGAGAGCTTTAAATCAGCATGCATGCCTGAGAGGCTCTCCTTCAAGTCTCCTGGCTTTACCTACTTTTTAGTCTAGAGTTTGACCCACAAGACTTCATTTTTATTTTAACCACTTTAAAAAATATTATCGATAGTAGAAAACTCCGGAAAGAAAACAGGGATTTACATGTAGATGGTGGGTTACTGGAACTCCCCTCACCCTGTATTGGAGAGCGCAAAAGAAGTCCCCCACTACCACAAATTATGTAGTCAAGTAGCAGGGTCAACACATCCGGAGAGCAATGGCCAAGCCTCACCCTGGGAAAACCACCTTTGCGATCATGGTATCTCCCCAGTTGTTGGAGCTTTGATCAAGCTGTAAATGAAAAACACCACAAATGTCTTTAGCTTTTGCTCCCTGCCCTCCTGTGTTGGAGTTCACATGTGGATGTGATCTTATCCACATTTTCTCTACAAAATCTGCATTTAATGTAGGAAAAGCAGAAGCCCTAGGTTCACCCCCGGAAATGCATGTCATAGGCTTACCTGGGGTTTCTTTCACAGGAAAAATTTGAAGACAGGACATTTGTCTTCAACACCCTCTGCACAGATACTAAGTCTGGCCGCATACTGGGCATGCGACATCTCCAAAGACAACTCCTTCATTGCTTGAAAAGGTGACAGGGAGCCCTACCAGTTGAGATGATACACTTAGCTCCAGAGGTCAACACATTTTATCTCCACTGTGGAATGTTTTGCAGCAGGGCCTGGATATCGACCGCCTGTTGTCAGGCTTGACAGCAAGCTTCTTAACTCATTGACCCATCTCTTTCATTTGGGGAAGAAGTTTAGCTATACAGAATTCATCAAATGCAGCCAATTTCATTTTAAACATTAATATAAAAATTAGAAAGGCAGCCGGCAGTGGTGGCTCACGACTTTAATCCCAGCAGGCAGAGAGAGAGAGAGATCTCTGTGAGTTTAAGGTCAGCCTGATCTACAGACAGAGTTCTAGGACAGGCTCCAAATCCAAAGCTACAGAAAAACCATGTCACAAAAAATAAAAATAAAAAATAAAGGCAGGGCAATATGCTTAATTTGACTTTAAATTGAGAACTGTATTTTTTAAAGATAGAATCTCATGTGTCCAAGGATGGCCTCAAACTCACTAAGTATCTGAACTTCTGGTCATCTGGTTCTACTCCGCTGGTGCTGGGATTATAGGTATGCACCATCAGGTCAGGTTCCTGCTTTGCTGAGGATCAACATCAGGGACTCAGTCTAGTGGTACATGCCTTTAATCTCAGCCCTGAGGAGTCAGGAGCCAGCCTGGTTTACACAGTAAATTCTAGGACAGCCTGAGCTACATAGTGAGACCTTGACTCAAACAAACAAATAAAAACAGGCAGAACCAAACAAACAAAAGCAGTATATTGTAGGCAAGTATTTACCAACTGAGCTGCATCCCCATCTCCTAAACACCCCATTTTAAATAAGTTTAAAACTTAATATTTCAATAATTTGCCTTGTCCAGGACTTAAGCCCATGATCTTCTCCTTTTTACAGAACACTTACAGAATCAGTGCATGTGTGGAGAACTCTCCCCGGGGTCAGATGCTTTTTTTGATACGAGCCCATTGAAAAGCGTCAAGACATCAGTCAGTACAAATACTTTTGGTCACGGTAAGCTGGCACCACACCAGTGACTTAACACTGACGCCTGGCGTGTTCTAAATCACGTTTCCTTTTCATGTAATTCAGGCTCAGGGATCCGATACAGAGCAGCTGAGAAATAAATAATGTTGCTGAGGCTGAAGATGATGCACAGAAGCATGGCTGCTGCTATCTGGGGCAAAGAGAAGGGTCTGGAGGTGGCCAAAAGCCACTCCTTCCTTAGAGTCTTATCCAGCAGGATGGCTTCCATCTGCAAGTGCGTGGCCAGGATCACACACACATGAAACAGCTGGTGACTGTGACCTGCGAGAAAACACAAAAGGTTGTCAAGATTGCCAGTCCGAACGGCCCAGTGGATGAAGGCTCCTGCTGGCACGCCTGGTAGCCCGAGTGCCACTCCTGGGACCCTCAGGAGAGTATACATCCCTGGGAGTTATCCTCTGACCTCTGCATGTTATGGCTTGTGTACACCCATGTATACACACACATGCTCAGGATAAATTAAGTGCTGGGAAGTCATCAATCAGAAGGTGTAAAGACGCAGGCTATGATATGTATGCTAAAAATGGGATAGCTAAATCCAAGCAGCCAGACAGGGGGGTCACACATACGATTTTATTTGTTTATTTCTTTATTTCAGTGCTGATTGTCTTCTGAGACAGGGTCCCAGGTAGCCCAGACTTGAGCTGAGGATGACTTGGAACTTCTGATCCTCCTGCCTCCACCTCCTGAGTGCTGGGATTACAGGCTTCTATAACAATACTTATTTTATCATTTCATGTCTTAAGAACTGCTTAGAGAGGCGAGTGAAAGACAGGTACAGATCCTCAGTGACCCGGACTGGCTGGAGACACCCACAGGCCTGCAGCGCCAGGCAGATAGACCTCATTATGGTGAGCAAACATATGGGGGAGGGATGGGGGAGAAAGAGAAACCGACGGGTTCTTGTGCTGAGGAAAGAGGAGAAACTGCAGGAGCAAAGGTGGTTAGAAACAAGCTACTGTAGGTAGCCATGGTGATGTCTGATCCTGGCCTGCTGCCAAGGGCCATGGTCCTACCCCAGCAGAGTAATTGACAACCCAGTCTGTGTTGACATCCGTGGCCCATGCTACCACCAAAGGCCACACTGATGCCCCAGGGTCTGGGCCGCCACTTGGGGCCATGTTGGTGTCTGAGGACTGTGCCACCACAGGGGCCAGGCTGAGCTGAGGTGGCCCGTGTTGCCATTCAGTGCCTTGGTGTTATCAGGACCCCAGCTACAGCTGAGGGCCATGTCTGGGTTCATGACCCTACGGCAGCCAGGGTCTGCATTGATGTCCTTACTTCAGTTACCACGGAAGACCCAAAGGATGCCCAGGGTTCAGCCTGACACCTGAGGCCATGTCGGTGTCTGAGAGCTATGCTCCGGCTGTGCCATACTTATCTGAGTAGCCTGCACTGCCACCCAAAGTCATGGTGACACCAGGCCCAAGCTGCTGCCAAAGGCCGCCACCTGGGGCCCTGGTGTTGTCTGGGCCTGGGCAGCTGCCAAAGGCCATGTCTAGATCAGTGGCCCTACAGTAGCCGTGACCTGATTTGATGCCCATGGTTCCTGTTACCACGTAGGGCCGTGTGGATACCTGGGGTATGGTCAGCCACCTGAGACCATGTTGGTATCCTAGGGCCATGCTGCCAATGGGGATCATATTGATCTGGGTGGCCTGGTCTGCCCCCAGGGCCATGTCTGGGTCCATGGTCCTGATGCAGCTGGGGTCTGTGCTGCTCTCCCTGGCCCAAGATACCACAGGGGACCATAGGAACTACGCATGTTGAAATCCAAGGGCTGTGCTGAGCTGGCACCACCCATCACTGTCCCCGAGAGTGCCCCTGGCTGGCCACTGCCATAGAATAGTTGGTCCTGTCCCTCACAGGAGAGCTGGCCCCACCCTTCACCATGGGTATGGAAGAGCCTCCCTAATCACCAACACCAGTATAGAAGAGCTGGCCCCTCACCTGAGATGGCAGCCCCAGCAGCCCAAAATGACCAAATCAGCTACCAAGCAGACCACATTCAGGGCTTTGAGCTGGCCCACCCCAGCACCTACACCATCCATGACCTAGCTGAGTGCATGAAGAGACTGGTCCTACAGAACCATGGCTGCAGAATCTCCATGACATGGGGCAATGGTGGGACGGAATATCCGGTAGGAGTTTTGATGAGGGTCCACTATTGATGGTGTACAGAAAGCCAGAGGCCTTGAACCAGTCCAACAACTTATTATAGTCAGAACAAGTAAAGTGGAATGGACAGAAGGGTCTACTGTGACACACTGCAGCTCCCAGTGCCACTAAGATGAATGAAGAGGTGTTGTGTGCGGGAAAGATGGAGGAGCAAAGTGGGTTTTTATTGTTGTTGCTGTTTTTCTGTTTTGGTTTGAATTGATAATTTTTAAAAATTTTCTTTGGGGGGAACACTACGGGGGTGGGAGTGGATATGGAGGGACTAGAAAATGAGTGGAACTGGGGTTTATGATGTGAAATTCCCAAAGAATCAATACAGATTATGTTTAAAAGAAAGAAATGCTTAGAAAGAACCTGGGAGATGGCTCAGTGTGTAAGGCCGTTTGCTAAGCAAACATGAAAACTTGAGTTCAGATCCCTAGCACTCCTATAAAATGACGGGCACCTCAGGCGTGCTCAGACGTGCTCAGGCATGCTCGGGCATGCCTCTCAACCCAGTGCTGTGTGGACACAGGAGGCTAGCTGGCGTTTGCTGAGTTTTAGCCAAGCTACTGGTTCGGTGAGAGATTAAGGCAGAGCATGCAGGCACCTGACATCTTCCTCTAGCTGCAGACTGCAGACACACACACACACACACACACACACACACACACACACACACACTCACACTCATTAATATGAACATATACAAAATATTTTTAAAACTTAAAAATGTTCAGAATAGATGAAGCTATAGCAGAGGGTAGAAATGGGAATTCTCCCTGCCTGGGCAGAAGGTTTTATACTGGAATGGTAGACATATCCCAAACGAATTTGCACTTTGGTACATATACTGGAGGAATTATACATCATTGTTTTTGGTTTGTGTTTGTGACAGTATTTTGCTGTGGAGCTCAGGCTAGCCTTAGAACTAAGTACCATGGTCCTCTTGTTCCAGCCTTCAAAGCACTGGGACTGCAGATGTGCCTGTCCCCAGCTGCTGGGAGCAACATTGATTTGTGACTTGACAGTGTGGTCGTAAATAGTCAAACATAGTTGTGGTAGCTGATCTTAATTGTGCACTTGTTGGGATTCAGAGTCAATCTAGGAGACATCTCCCCTCGTGTGTATGTGTTTCCAGAGAGAATTAACGAAGGTGGAAGGTCCGCCTTCTAAGGGAGTGGCATCTTCCAAAGAAGTTATTTGTAGCTGAAAAAGCGGTGTCCCCGGCCTCCCTCCCCAGCAAGTGCATCTCTTGCTGTCGCCACCGTCCTCTGCCATTGGGACTCCAGTTTCTTCAGCTTCCAGTGTGGACTGACTGCCAGCTCCGCAGGGTGCTATCAGGTCCGTAGCCCCAGTTTTGAACGACTCATGCATCCAGCTTTGTAGATCGAGCATCCTGCAGCTTCTCTGCCTCTCTTGCAGGCTGCCAGCCACTGTTGGACTACCCAAACTCCAATCTAGTAAGCCCTATAGCATATGTGTGTGTATGTGTGTATGTGTGTGTGTGTGTGTGTGTGTGTGTGTGTGTATACATATACATACATATATAATGAATTCTGTTCTAGAGAATCTGGCCTAATATAACTCCTTACTATATTTATTCTTAGAAATTAATGTGAGAAAACTAGGAAGGTTAGATGAGCAAAATTCTTTCTCTAAAGCACCTTATCCATCAACCCCCTTTTCCAAGTGAAAATGTGGGCACCCTGCTCTTCCAGGGCTCTTCTGCTGCACCGGAAGAGCCAGAGTTTTCCATCCATGTGTTCTTGTCTCAACTTCTGGCTAATAAGAGACATGACCAGGAGCTCTCGTTCCAGGACGCCATGCTGGACTGAGCTCAACAACTGCACAATCAGTAGGTAGGAGCCCAAGCAGGAGAGGTGGAATAGGCAGGGCCATGAGGAAAGGTCCAGGCTTAGGGAAATGACACCGAAAGCAGGACGAACTGTGCCTCTGGACATGCTGAAGTCCAACCTGTGGCCATCTTTGGAGAAACAGTTACGTTTCAGTGAGGTCACTAGGGTGGGCCCTAATCCACTGGACATGATCTATACTGAGGAAGAATCTCATGAAGACCGTGGAAAGGTTCCAAGGCCAGGGGAAGTACGAAGACACCATCCTACTGATGACTACATCTCAGCCGGTCAGCCTTCTGAGTGTGAGAAAACAGCATTCTGTTGTGCAGGCCGGTCACACTTGCATACAGTTCCTCCCTTTGTGGGAACTGCAGGCCTAAGAAACCAATACAGCATGGCTGTTAAATAAGGCTTCTCCAGATACCTGTATCCAGGTACGGTGGCACCTACTTGTACCTCAGCACTCTTTAAGCAGGGACAGAAAGATCATGAGTTCAAGCCCAGTTTGGGCTACATCAGTTGAAGTCCACCCTCCACCACATATTGAGACCCTATCTAAACAATAAATTTATAAAAAGGGTGTGTGTGAGAGAGAAGGCTCTGTGGGAAAGGCACCTTCCATCAAGCTGACAACTTGAGTTCAATACCCTGGACCCACGTGGTAGAAAGTGAGAACTTGTTCCTGCTAGTGGTCCTTTGACCTCTAAATGCCCAAAGCATCACACACAAACACATTAAATAAATTAACATGAAATCAAAAAAAAATAATGCATGGAAAGTTCTGTATGGTACCATAAAACCCATTTCAGGCTCTAGGGGGCGCCTGACCACAATCTTCTGACAAGAGCAGTATCAGGATGGTTGAGCTCTAGCAAGCATGCCTGCCGCGTTTCTTCAGCCCCAGCGTCTGTCCCGGGAGGAAGGTGAGTAGATGGCACCCAGCCTTAGTGGAGGGCTGTGCCCAACACTCCAAACGAGTGTGGTGCAGGCAAGTGGCGTCTGCCGCAGCTGCGACACGGTGCCAAACACAGATCCCTGGCTCGCGCCATTCACTAAACCCGTTTCCATTAGAGATGAGCAGCTGCTGTGCCTACAGAAATGGGCGCATCTGGAAGGGCCCCACAGGAAAGAGCGGCTTCAGCTAAGCCACCTACCAGGTCTCAGGGAACTTACTGTAGGCCAGGAAAGCACCCTCCCATATTACACAGGCATTTTTCTGCTGTGGGTCTTTAGGCCTGAGAGGACAGGACTAAGTGAATAAATAAAACATGGATAAAGCCAGAGTGCTAGCAACATAATGGCCCAGTCTGCCATGCCCCTGCCTGCTGCTGTGGGCCCCAGCTCTCGTCCACAGCTGTCTCCAGGTGCTAGGCAGAGGCCTGGGGCCTCCAGTTCCTGGCCCCCGACCCTGTTCTCTCTCTAGAATAAGTGCTCTAAGAATTTTGCTGGAGGCAGTCCCTTCTAGTAGGACAAAGAGGAAAAAAGAGGCTCTAATCAGATCACAAAGCCTATCTAGCTCCATCTCTAAAGTGAGTGGAGAGGTCACTCCAGGCAGGGCAAAAGTGGCTTGGGGAGGACCCAGGTGTTTGCTGTGGTGGGGACAATAACTGGCTTTTTGAGTCTCATAGTATCTAGTTAAGGAAGACACCCAAAGGGGCTGTGATGGCTAATATTGTCAACTGAAGTCTCTAGAACTACTCAGGAGCAATCTCTGTGTTTGTCTGTGAGGGAGTTTCTACACTGGGCCAACTGAAGTGAGAAGGCCTGCCATTCCATGGGCTGGGGTCCTGGGCTGGATACAAAGAATGCAAGCTGAGCACCAGCCTTCATTTCTCTCTCTCTCTCTCTCTCTCTCTCTCTCTCTCTCTCTCTCTCTCTTTCTCGCTCTCTCTCTCTCCCCTCTCATCTCCCCCCTCTCTCTCCTCTCATCCCGCCTCCTGCTCTGCCACCATGCCTTCCCTTTCGTGGTGGGGCACACCCTCAAAGCTAAACCAAAATCAAGCCTTAAAGGATCCCACCCATCCTGCTTTGGAGAAAACGGGAGGGAACACTGCAGCAGCTAGGAACTCCTGTGCTCTGACACCACTGGTGATCATGTGCCCTCTCAAGTCATACTTAGCTCAGCTCCCTTGAGTGTCACATGACCTCAGTGAGTGCTGCTGGCCTTGCCCCAGCTTTGGAGTTCTTGGGTCAGAGGCCTGAGTTTGGGCCCAGAAGTCGCGGCCTCGGTCAGGGATACACCTGGGACCCACAGCTCCACGAGACCCCAGGCCTTCCACTCACCATGTTCAAGACAGATTGTCCTCTGTAAGCTGCCTGCTGTTGGCAAGCCCATCTTTCCTCTTCCTCTCTGTGGCTGCCCCCCTCGCCCCGCCATGTTCTTGTTGTACTGGGAAGTCAGACTCTGGGTGCCAACAGGGTGGTTGCTCACTGGAATGCTTCAGGGTCCTGCACCTACCTGTTCCCATCCTCCCTGTCTCTGGCAGTGCAGTAGCAACACAAATAATGGCTTTGGTCAAGATAGACGGTCACTGCTGTCCCTGTCACTCACCATGACCTATGCCTGGATGACTCCCTCCTGGGTCACTCCTCTCCATGTCCCCTGCCTGGTGGCTGTATACACATTGTCAAGGATCTCCCCACCCCAGCTGAGAGTCACCCCCTGGTTCGGGGTCACCCCTACCCCTGCCCCATCCCACTCACCGATGTAGTCAAAGCGTCCAGGTGCCAGTCGCTCTGGCAGGTGAGCAGAGTACAAGAAAGAGGCCAGGAGGGTCATGACCATGTGCTTCTGGTGATACAAGATGGCTTCATTTCTTGAACTCTCTCCTGGGAACAAGAAGAGCTGCAGGTGTTTGGAAAACAAAACAAAACAAAACAAAAGGCCTTGAGAAGCCAGACCTACATCGCTCAGCACACCAGCACAAGTTCCTCAGGCCCAGGCCTCACCTCCTCAGGATCATGGCCTGAACAAGGGAATTGTGGGGAGGAGGGGAAAGGAGATAGAAGAGAAGAGGCCAGATAGAGATGAGCAGGGGGCAACGGTGGCGCACGCCTCTAATTCCAGCACTTGGGAGGCAGAGGCAGACAGACCTCCAAGTTCAAGACTAGCCTGGTTTATAGAGCAAGTTCCAGGACAAACAAAAAAGAAGAAGAAGAGGAGGAGGAGGAGGAGGAGGAGAAAGAAGGAGAAGGAGGAGAAGGAGGAGGAGGAGGAGGAGAAGAAGAAGAAGAAGAAGAAGAAGAAGAAGAAGAAGAAGAAGAAGAAGAAGAAGAAAAAGAAGAAGAAGAAGAAGAAGAAGAAGAAGAAGAAGAAAGAAAGAAAGAAAGAAAGAAAAAGAAAAGAAAAAAGAGAAAAAATCCTATTAGATATTGCTGCTTTCTGAGGATAAAATGCAAGCACAGAGGAATGGTCCTATCTGCCCCGACTCCAGATGCAGAGCTACAGAACTGAGGCTCATAATGAAGGCTTCAAGGCTTAGAGGCAATCTGGCAGCATAGCTCAGTGGGTAAAGTCCCTTGTCACCAAGCCTGATGACCTGAGCTCAAACCCCTGGACCCACGTAGTGGAAGGAGAGAACTGGCTCCCACCAGCTGTCCTCTGACGTCCATACGCTTGGCACGTGGTGGGGGGTGGACATGTGCACACAAAAGAAATAAATGTGACAGGAAGAAACGCTTTAAAAACAAAAAGGCTTGGAAGCCTTTTTTTTATATATATATCATCAAAAAGAATCACCATTTAGCCTTGCTTGGTGACTCAGGCTTGAACTCACTCCCTAAGGCAGAAATACTGGAATTTCAAGGCCCATCTAGGCTATGGAGATAGTGAAGGCCAGCCTGAGCATCCTGTCTCAATCAATCAATCAATCAATCAGTAAGTGGCTGGGGATATAGCTCAATGGTAGAGCCCTTGCCTAGCACACAGAAGACCTTAGACTCATTCCCACCTTCAACCACCCCTCAATGTATGACCACTATACTGCTTCAAGGTTAAGCAGAGTTGTTTTTTTTATTATTATTATTAGTTTTATAAATAATAGTAGTAGCTTCTCCTTACTAGAGGCACCAGGCCAGCCATCTCTCTGCATTAGATGGGACACGCTGCAGTCAGACAGCTTCTGCTGGGGTTGTGGGAATGTGTTTCCTTTGGCCCCTAGGACCTTCAGGCAGACTCTACTTCCCAGTTTTGCACACAAGGAAAGTGAGCCTGAGACTGACTTGCAAACGGTCAGTAGTCAGTGAAGCGAAGGCTGGAATCTAGGCAGGGCCATTCCAGTACTGATGCAATCACCCCCTGCCCTATGCCCCGTCGTCTTGCATAGACTCCAGATAGCATCGCACAGCATGAAATCTGCGTGTAACTGGGGACCGCTTTCAGATGAAGTTCCCTGTGCCCCTGCACAAGCTCCCTCCCGGAAGCAGAGAGAGCTGAGTGGCACTCCCATCCCCCACTCTCCTGTAGACCCACTTAGGGAAATATGGCAAAACCAGTGTAGCAAGTAAAGCTCTTCCCTACCCTGGAGCCTCACCCCCTGCCACCCGGGCCTCACGCCGCCTCTGGGAGAAGTCTACACACAAGGTAATGCTGACCCTCTCTGATTCATTATATCCAGGAATCCTCATTAGCTCCTACGCAGAAGCAGATGTTAGCCTCATTCACAGATGAGGAAACCCGGGCTCCGAAAGGGTGTGTGTACTGCCCAAATCACACAACAAGGAACCATGGAGACTAGAATTTGAACTCGGGCCCATGTGTCCTGCAAGTGAGTCTCTTTCCTTCTTGGCCTGTTATCCGACCTCAGCTCCCCGCCATTGTACTCTCGGCCTCATCCTCATCTATCCTTTTAAGACTTTCATTCCCGCCTTTTCCTTCAGAAACATACTATATTACCGATAATATATAATCATGCATGTATTGGCCTTTTCCCATATCGATGATTACCAAACTCCAGGCTGTCTGCCTTGTGGTTGTGGTTTGAATAGGAATGGTCCCCACAGACTCGCACGCGTGTGTGTGTGTGTGTGTGTGTGTGTGTGTGTGTGTGTGTGTGTGTGTTGGGGGGGGCGGTGTTTGACTCTCTCAGAGCTCAGGAGACAGTGAAGCCCCGGACATTGCTGACAGGAAGAGAGGAGATGTACCCATGTCCTTACCCGGTAGAAGATGGGAAGGGAGTCCCAGGTGTAGGGGTAGGCGAAGGCGAGGACCCGGAGCAGCTTGCAGAGCCGGGGCTTCTGGAGTTCAAGAAACCTGCAGTCGGGGAGGAAACGGAGGCTGTTCAGGAACTCACACGTGACCATATGGGTCATCAGCAAGCGTCTTTACATGGCCTCCTGTGGACCCCAGTTTCTCCACTAGCCTCTCTCACGCCTCCTACATTGGTGGAAACGACAGAACTTCAACAAGAAGGAGAAACTTTCTCTGAGAGCATGAAATGCAATGGGCGCAAGCCAAGACTGGGGGTTGGGGGTTGGGGGGTTTCTTCAGGCAGAAACCTGCAAAGGTCAGAAGAGATTTAGCAGCAGAGGGGTTTTAAAAGGTCCCACCAAGACAGGAAGGGGCCTCTCAAGCACAGACCCCAGACCACACTTTATACAGAAGCAGAGATGCATCCAAACAACTGGAACCACCCACGTGATGTCATACAAAGACCTGGGCTCAAGAGGGTGCTGGGTCACCCATAGAAGTTTCTAGAATATTTATATCAGCACAGGAACACTGGCCTGGGGAAAGTGAATGTGCGGAGGGCCTGTCTCTCTCCCCCATGAGATTTCCCACTGCTCCTCAGAGCAAAGACAGAATCCTCTATATTTAGGAGGAGGCAGGACCTCCTGGACAGGTCGCCACCTCTCTGGAGACCTAGAGGGGGTAACAGCTTTAGACCTGGGAGTTCAGCACCAGAGACACCAGATATCAGGATATCTGGATATCAGGAGGTTAGGATGCTTTGAGCAAGGCATCCACACAAAACTGCAGCTCTGGGGCTGGAGATGTAGCTCAGCTGGTGGAGCACCTGTCTAGCTGGCACACAGGAAGCCCCGGGTTCCTTCCCCGGCACTCATGACCCATACATGGTGGCACATGCCCGTGATTCCAGCACTTGGAGGGCAAGTCAGGAGGATCAGACGCTCAAAGGCATTTTTAATATAGTTTATATATTAAACATTTTATATTAAATGCATTTAATATATTTTATATAGTGAATCTGGGGTTAGGAGGACCAGAAGTTCAAAGTGATTTTTAAATATATTTTATATAGTGAACTTGAGGTCAACCTGGGCTATAGGAGATTCTATGTCAAAAAAACCCAAAACGACTCAATTACCTTCTTGACCGCACAACACTGGGAAGGAGGCAGTGGGCTGTGGTTTCAATAGGGACACACCAGGTTTCAACACAGACTGGACACATCAGGACCATGCTGATATGGCAGGTAGCCTCTAAAGCTGTGTGTGACTTATCCCTCCCTCACAGTGTTATTGTAAAGACTTAAAGCAACGAGGCTCCCGGTACTAACGTAGCTGGGAAAAGCACACAAACCACTTCCTGTTCCCTCCCAGCTATGGCGGAGCAGAGGGTCAAAGGGGAGAGACGGGTTCTGGGCGGACAGTCCCAGAAGAAGCTGAGAACAGGCTCTAGCCCAAGGTATCTGTCCCCCAAGTGTCACATTGTCCTTGTCTGCCTCTGATAGCCCCAGTCTTCTTTCTACCCCCAGGGGCCAAAGGAAACACGTTCCCACAACCCCAGCAGAAGCTGGCCAAGCTCAACAAGCCCCTTATGCATCTGTCGTGTCTGGGACAGGCTCAGTCCTAACGAGTGCTCCTTGTGGCCACTTACACGCGAAGAAAACCTGGCTCTGACTTGGCGAGGGCCGCCCCCCCTAAAGCACCGGTTTCCTGCGACTTGAGACCACATGTCACCAGGCCTGAAAAAGTGCTTCCCCAGGGGGCAAACGAGTCAGCCCCTCCAGCAACAAAGCTGAGTCTACAGGGGGACAAAAAGAAGAAGCAAAATAGGAGAAAAGAAAGCAAGAGAGAAAAACAAAACAAAAAAGCTCTTAACCACACAAGACAAAAACAAAACAAAGCAAACAAACAAACAAAAAACCCCCACTATTCCAAAGGTGCAATTCCACATTCAACCACAGGATGTCGCCACAGCTAGAGATTCCTGAAAGCAGATGCCTTGGCCTCCAAAGCACCCAGCAACAGTTTCCAAAGCACAGCGGGCTTTTTCCAGGAAGCAGTGCAGGAAACGCTGGATTGGGGAAGAAGCCTACCTTAAGATCAGAGTGAGGTAATGAATAAATCTTGGCAACTGAAATGCCAAAACTAATGGTTGATGCAAATAGTTAATTAGAAGTTATTCAATTGCTAAAGTACACAGTTGTGTGTGTGTGTGTGTGTGTGTGGTCTTCTATTGTGTGTGGGTTTTATCCTAGTTTGGAGACTCACAGGAAGGGGAACACTTTCATATGCCTGATCCTGGCCCTGGCAGCACCTCTGCCATCTGGCTGGGGTGTCACAGCCCCAGAACTTCGTCTGCTGAACCACTGCCCCAGCTCTGACCCTGGTCCTTTTGAAGCTGACTTTGTTATCACTCTGCATACTGAGGGATTATTCCTCTGGCCCAGACTACTTTGTGATGCTCACCATACTGACCTCAGTGACTTTGCAAAACAAAATTTTTTGGTGAAAGTTGGGAGAGGTGGTGGCTGCCTGTACGAGAGCAGGGTGGTGGTGGTGGTGGGGGTGTATCAAAGCAGCCAAGGCTGGACAGTGGGACCCGCTATCAAAACACCAAACCAAACAAAACTCCATGGCCGGACAGGCTTGCTGAAAGGAAGATTTGCAGTGACAGGAAGCATGGGGCAAAAAGAGCAAGGACAGCTCGCTGGCTGCCAGCTGAGGGCAGGGTCAAGAAGGGATCGTGTTGGAGCATTGACTATCCTTCACAAAGCAAAGTGTTTAGCTCCCCTCTCAAGTGTGACAGCATGAGAGGACCCCCCACATGGCTACTGGTGACATATCTCAAAGGTCTTGTGGAGAGGAAACTGAGCCCAAAAAGAGCAACTCAGGAGGTCGCTGTTCCCAAAGAGCCAAGAGTGGTCCTCCGAGAGAGCACTACACTTCCGAGCTGGCCCTTGGGGCCGCTCTTAGCCATCCTCCCTCCCACCCTCCAGTGCACTGCTGCTGTTCCTGGGCCCTCCACTCCCACACACTACCATCCTTGCCGAGGCTGTTTGCTCTGCCCCAAAGGCCCTCCCTTATTTCCAGCTTCAGGGTTGTCACTGGCTCCCTCCCAGTCCTAAGCCAACCTCTCAAGGCCCTGTGTATCCAAGTGTATGTCACAGATATGGTCTGCTTCCCCTGCTCTCTGTTCTGCGTCACAGAGCAATGAAAGTGCCCTTTCAGACTCTTTATGTGTGTGTGTGTGTGTGTGTGTGTGTGTGTGTGTGTGTGTTCTGGCTTTCCTGTACCTACCTGGCACTCTCTTTAGGCAAGACCTCACTCTGCTAGGGGTGGCAACTTTTCATATGGTCCCCAGAGCCCAGGCAGCCTTTGAGGAACATCAGTCAGGTGAGTGGGGACGATAGCCCCAGATGTGCCCTCTGGGTCATCAGAAACAAATTGTGTCAGAGTCAAGGAGAGAAGTCCCAAAATATGGGGGTACAAAACATTTCTGGGTCAGTGCCCAACACCATCCAAATACACCAGGCTTGCTGAATCCACAACACCCAACACTGAGCCTGCATGGTCAAGGAAGACTTTGGGCTAGCAGAAAGCAATATACCCTGGTGGCTAACAGGTGGTCAGTCAGGAGCTTTCAAAAAAAATAATTTAAAAGGCAGCAAATGTCCTACACTGTGAGCCCCTGGGAAATCAGCTTTGTCCTACTAATCACAGGGATTGTGTCTCTCATGCCCATGAGCTGCCCCAACCCCCACTACCCACAGTGTTTGTCCCCTCCTATCCCAGTTCTAAATACCAAAGCCACAAGGTGCTTAGAAACCAACTACACAGGACAAAAATGGACCCAAAGACCAGATTCAGGGGTGTCCAGCCTACCTAGGAGCCCAGGCAGCCAGAGGAAAGATCACTCAGGTACGCTGCATCTCTGCGCTGTAAACATGGCACTTACCATGCTTGCACATTGATTCATCCAAGATGGGGACACAACCCCTCTCCACCATCAGTGGTACCCTAGATTTCCACCCTGGTGCAGAGGTTGTATCCCACACAACTTAATTCCTCCTGGAAGTAGGACATTAGCAACCCAGGACAAGGGACTTTCTTTCCTGTCTCTACAGGTGGATTCAAGCCCTGCCCAGCTGTCAGGGAATTCTGTGATTTCCACAAAGACAAGAGACTCTCCCCATCCCCAGAAGTTCCCTGAGGGATGAACCACACAAAATCCAGGGTGGACACACTGCAAGGCACTTTCGCCCCCAGGGAACAAACCCCATCTGCCTCATACCCTTTTCAAATATCCTGGCAAATGGAGGGCAAGCTGGGGTGAACCTTTCTAATGTACAAAAATCTACCCTCCCACATTTAAAAACAAAAACCAGTTTGGCAGGCTCCCCCGAAACCTGGGTGTTACCCAGAGGAAAGGAATCATAACCATCCCAAAGAAGAATCCCCTACTCTGCCTGTTTCTCCCTGGAGAGGGGACAGTGCAGTGGGAGGTGCAGGGACACACATGCAACCCAGGTGCCTCTCCTGACTTGCCACTTCTGGCATGGAGGTACTACCTAGATGGGACTGTCACCTTGCCATAATCATCTGGAAGGTTTCCTAAGCGCCCCAGGGAGCCTGTGATTTCAGGCAATTTACTCCTGCAAAGAACAGTGTCAACTAGCACCGCTCTCCCCATGACAACACCGCTCAGACTCCACCCCACAGAGTCTTGCTTGAAAGAAAAAAGGATAGCAGGATTAGAGGTGGGGAGCTGGCCATGACTTGTGGCCACTTTGGAATACTCTTTATCCCCCAACACAGGTACCTAGCGATGAGGCATCCCCCACCATCACGGGTACCTAGTGATGATGCATCCCCCACCATCACAGGTACCCAGCGATGAGGCATCCCCCACCATCACAGGTA